AGGAGAGGGATTGAGGTTGAATGTCACACACTCACACCCATGTTAGCTGAAGATCTTAGCAAACACCGACTGGGAAGATCCCGCTGACTATCTCAGCTGGTTGGCACCAAGCGTGCCACAGGCGGCAATGGGGATTGAACCCACAACCTCCTGAACAGTGAACGCCACTTGCGTGCCTAACCAATTGAGCTAGGTTGCAAGTTCGAAAATAACAAGAGTGCCACCTGTGCCACATCATCAGCTCCTGCCATAGAATGGGCAGAGATGGTAGTTGTAAATCGTGTTTTTTCTTTTTTTTTTCTTTTTTTCTTTTTGAGGTTACCGAGGTCAGGTTTGGGGTAGGGGGCCATCTAAGATAGGAGGGCTGTGAGGTTGTGTAACAGAGCGGCTCGGGCTGGTTCGAGTGTGTCTTCTCCCAGTCTGGCACTCTCGGACGTGCATTTTGTGCCTATTGACAGGGGTTCTTCTGCAAGTTTCCCTCCTTTGCTAGTTTGATAGAATTTCCACTTTTCAGAACAGGGATATTTGTCCATCATCTCTCTCTCTCTCTCTCTCTCTCTCTCTCTCTCTCTCTCTCTCTCTCTCTCTCTCTCTCTCTCTCTCTCTCTCCACCTACCCGCCTTTCGCTGAAACCTCAATGACATCACGGAGGTACAAACGTGAGCGTTTTGGTTGGTTCTCATCGCGGCCGGCTTCACTGGGATACGTCTATGGGTTCCTAGCACAATCTTCTAGCCAACCGAAACGGTACACAGAATCAGCTTGGCCCCTGTGCAAGGATGACACACACAAATGGAGACGCGATCCAGAAAGAAAGAGACAAAAAAGAGAGAGAAATCTGGTGACTATGGGATCCCTTTTCTCGTCCCTATCCCAGTTGCCTACGATTTTGGGGCAAAGGACAGGCGCCAGGCGTTGTCCATCCGCTGTTAGACGCCCAAGAAGAGGCGAAGGATTTCGCAACCTGATTTCGCAATCTATGCGACGAAGCTCAATGCCTCTTGTCCCCTATTCGATGGTACTACAACATCTCTATACTCTTGAAGGGAATGACAGGTCTTGCATAACTATCCCACGCAGACCTGCCTTCCAGCGTTGGGAAAGCTGCTGGGACAAGGGGCGGGCCCAGCGAAATGAAGAGTTGCTGCCGTGTCCAACTCGCCGGGCGGATGTTGGAATACAAGTACATAGCGCTGCGACCTGCAGAGCAGTTATTTCTTTTGGCCAGTAGATTTTGGAGAAGGGCCGGACGTCAGGGCCTTACTACTGCACTACTCTCCACATGCACAAAAGAAAGAAAAGATGGCAATGTATCTCTCCATGTTCTAGCGGTAGAGTCAGTCTCATACATTTGGAGAGTGGTGCAACAAGGCCAGAAGTATGGCGGTGTATCTTTCACTGTTCCAGCGGAAATTTCTTTTGGACTTCGGGCATGGCCGCACTACTCCCCACAAAAAAGATGGCAATGTAAAAAGATGGCAATGTATCTTTCCATGTTCTAGTGGTGCATCGGGTCTGGCTGCACTAACTGGACATGCACAAAAGACAAAAAACATGGCGCCGTATCTTTCCATATTCTACCGGAAGATTCACTCTCGTTTTGCACATTTCAAGAGTAGTTCAGCGACGCCCATCCAATCTCATTTTGCACATTTGAAGAGTACTGCAGCCAGGCCCTCTGCCCGTTTGGTGCCCAGTGGAGAGGGCCTCGCTTCACTACTCACCACGTGCACAAACGACAAAAGAATGGAATAGTCGTTTTTTTCTTCTTTTCTTTTCTTCTTTTCTTTTTTTTCTGTTTTTTTTGCCTGGTAAGTAGTGGAGCGAGGTCCGATCTGGCAGTGTGCTCTTAGGGCCTCGCTCGACTACCCAGCAGGTGACGGCCTTGAGATATCATCATTGAGCTGACCGGGGCCGAGGTCCCACTAGCAAAAAGGATTGGATGAAGCTCCTGAATCTGGACGTGTTTTAAGAAGAGATGCAGAAAAGCAGTTCAATCTCACCTTTTTGCACCTCTCCACAAACACGTCCAGATTCAGGAGCTCAATCCCAATCCACTTTGCTAGTGGGACCTTGCCCCAGCCCCAGGCAATTGGTCTTACTCATCAAGTTCCATCACCTGGAGTCGAACACGGGTCTGTATGTCAACAGTTCATGGGTGCAACCATTGAGCTAGGCTCTTGGGTAGCGGACTGACTTTTTTTGGTGGCAATGCGATGGCACAGCCAGCTGATTGCTGCTTTAGGGCCTTGCCGCACCACTCTTGAAACAGGGAAATGTTTCAAGAGCTGTCAGACGATTTCAAGAGTTGCATTTTCGGCAGTCTTCGGGCCTCGCTGCACTACACTTGAATCTTGAGGAATCAAGTGTACGGCACCGCCGCACTTACACTCGAAAACAAAGCTGGGAAACAGCTTCAAGAGCTGTCAGATCGGCGCTAGATTCTTTAAGAGTGAGTCATCGCTGCACTCACTCTTGACGGATGCTCTTGAATTTCTTTTTCAAGATGTGTCAGAAGGCTCGATTCTGACAGATCTTGAAGTGTTCAAGGGTGTTTTTTTTAAGGGTGGTCGGCCCGGCCCTTCACGAGCTCTTCAGCTTTCAGGAGCGGGCCTCCAGTCTGGGCTGACAAAGCAGATGTGCACCATCGTGTAGCATTCAAGACTGGAAAAAAAAAGAAAAAAAGAAACAAAAAGTGCAGCGACGACGGCTATTGTGAGCGTTTCTCTTGTCTGAGAGCTCTTGATCTACGCTTGAACTTTTTTGTGAGTCAAGCCTAGTGCAGCGAGGCCCTTCGGCCCCTCACGCTGTCTCTTATACACATCTAGATGTGTATAAGAGACAGGTCACGGCTATTGTGAGCGTTTCTCTTGTCTGAGAGCTCTTGATCTACGCTTGAACTTTTTTGTGAGTCAAGCCTAGTGCAGCTAGGCCCTTCGGCCCCTCGCCACACAGCTTTGTTTTTTTTTTCAAATGGCATCAGGATAACGGCCTGACAACTCTTGAAAATCAATATTCCCGCAAGGGTTCGTGGACCAAGGACGCTTGAAAACGCACGAGTTGCAGGCAGGCTGGAGTTTCCAATCTTTCAAGAGCTGCTGCTCTTTGAAGGGTTTCAAGAGCCACTCTGACTGCTCTTGACTGCCCCAAGTTTCAAGAGGCTGTGCGGAGATGCAGCAACCCTTGAAAATGAGTTTTCAAGAGTGGTGTGGCGAGGCCCTTAGTTCCATGTTCGAGTACATGGCATGCCCTATTTAGGTCAGATACCTTCCAATGCCTTTTTTCTTTTTTCTTTCCTTTCCCCCCTCCGACGCTGACGCTTGGACTGGCTGTGCGGTTCTTTGCTGGGACCCTGCGTCCGCTGCGCCCCTCATGCTCCCCGCCGCATGGGCGGCGGGCATCCCTTGTTTCTCAGATTGAAAAAATGTGAGAGTGCTGTCAGCCGTACATGTGGCTGATATCATTTTCAGATTCAAACACAACAACAACTGCGCAACTCGAGCAGCAGCCCAGCCCGCCGCCAATCTCCCGCCCACGGCCAGCAGAAACGGAAAAGAAACTGAAAAAGAAAAGCGGGGCCGAAAAAGTTGGAAGAAAAGGGTGCCTACCAACGGGCCTACCTCAGGGGCGAGGTCCCACCAGCGAAGAGGATTGAATGGAACACCTGAATCTGGATGCGTTTTAAACACGAATGCAGAAAAGCAGTTCAATCTCGCATTTGTGCACCTTTCCGCAAACAAGTCCAGATTCAGGATTTCAATCCAATCCTGTTTGCTGGTGGGACCTCGCCCAGGAACTTTCTAAATGCGCATCCGAGCTCGAATCCAGCTGGTAGCAGATGAACAAAACTCTCCAGTTACCTGGGCCAGGGGTTAGGTCCCACTTGCACAAATTGAGAGATACTGACCGTAGATAGCAAAGATCAACGGCCCAAATCTCCTAATTTGCTTAAGCGGGACCTTGCCCCAGGCCAGGTCCACGAGGACATCTAAATCCGTCGCCCAAAGAAGGAACGCGGTGTTGCATCATTTGAAAAAAAAAGGAAAAAAAAGAAAAAAGGAAAAAGGTGTTGCACCTATGTAGCCATTGGGCTTCGCACCATTACTCAACAACACAACTGTGCAAAATGAGAGCGAAAGCCTATGTAGCGATTGGGCTTCGCTCCATTACTCAAAACCACAACTGGCAAAATTTTCGGCCAGAACACTGGACGGTACACCGCCGCCCTATTGTTTTGTCTTTTGTGCATCTTTTTTTTTTTTTTTTTTTCCTTTAAATCTTTTGTGCATCTAGTGAGTAGGGGGGCGAGGCCCATTCTCCTTTTGGCGCTTCAGTAGGTGTTGCGTGGCGGGAGGGAAGTGTGTTGTGAAAAGTCGCCGCCGGCGTATCCCAAGAATAGCGGGAGCGGGAGCGAGAGTGAGATCGGGAACTGGTTGGGGTGGAAGCGCATTGTGTGCTGTGTCCGTCGCGGCTCACACTACTCACACTATAAACTATTCCATGGTCGTGCATTGCTATAAATTGTGATGGTCAATTAGATCCAGACACGTCGGTCAGCATTTCTCGAGCGGACGTCCGCCCACCGGAGCCGCCTCCTTTCCTCCCGCCTCCTTTCCTTAACTACTGCTTGGTGAGGTGTCAGGTGGGGGGCCGAGGCGTTCAGGAGGGCCTCAGCGCAGTTCCGCGGCTCTAGTTCTTGAGGAAGAAGCGATCTTCAGGTAGGTGCTCTCTCCGTGGGGAATTGCCCCCAGGTGGGCCCCTCTCCAAACCTCCTTTTGATGTCTGTTTGGCGCTCTCATCTGTATACTTGTGCGTTTGAGGGCTGGCTGAGGCACTCAGGAACGTTCTTGTGGAGTGCATATATTTATGCCAGGTTGTGATGAAAGCGGAGTCGTGTGTAGGGCGAGCTGTTTCACAGACGGTCGATCAAATCATACGACGATTGTTTGACAGACTGTGGTGTCGAATGTCTAGGCGCAGTTCCGTTCACGAGGCATCACCGCTGGACGGCAGGTCTCAGATCGTTTGAGAGATAGGGCAAAGCCATCACCTTGTATGGGCACAGGAGGTGAGCTCTCCGCCTTGTCAATGATGGTTTGTTCGTTCGTTCTCCTAGGGGAAAGCGTGCGCGATATGAGCAGTGTACACGCATGTATGAAACAAAGCTATTATGTTTGCGTGTGAAGAGCAATTTGGCCATTGCTTACCTTCTTCTTCTTCTTCTTCTTCTTCGAGCAGATTCGTCTTATCTTCGTCTCGTATCGGGCCTCATTCCAGTACTCTCGAAATGTGCAGAATGAGGATGAATCTTCCACTAGAACTTGGAAAGATTCACGGACATATTTTGTCTTTTGTGCATGTCGAGAGTAGTGTAGCGAGGCCCATTGAAATGAGGGTGAATCTTCCGCTAGAACTTTGGAAAGATACACCGCCATATTTTTTGTTGTTTGTGCATGTCGAGAGTAGTGGAGCGAGGCCCATCCTCTTCTCGTTAAATTTTGAAATGAGGATGAATCTTCCGCTATAACTTGGAAAGATACACCGCCATATCTCTGTCTTTTTTGTGCATGTCGAGAGTAGTGGATCGGGCCCCATCGTCTGCTCGTCAGAATTCACCATCAATTTATTCACCGGCATTTGTTTTTTTTATTTTTTTATTTTTGGAAAGCTTTCGGCATTTTTTTTAGGAGTTGTCGATCTGGCACAAATCCTCTTCCACTCTCATGTTCATCCGTAGCTCTCAAATTTGTTGCCGTATACGTATGTATGTTGATATTGATAGATAGGTCCTTGCTCCACCACTCAGCACATAGACAAGATACAAAAACCATGGCCGCAGTGCACCTTTCCATGTTCTAGAGGAAGGTTCATTTTCATTTTGCATATTTGGTGAGTGGTGAACCGAGGCTCATAGATACTGGATTGCCGCATTGTCCTGATCTAGTCATGATGACTTTGTGTCTTGGATCCTTTGTCTTGTTTCCCTTTTCTAATACGAATCCATGTGCGCAACGTCGGTGAATGTGCGCGCTCGAGATTCAAATTGGCTGATCTTCCTGTCGGAGCTATGGTGTGCACATTGCACTTGGACATATGCACCTATAATTAGCGATTGTCCTGCACAATTAATTCTCAATACTTAATTTTGCTTCTCCTCCTCGGCTTCTTCTTTGTTCAAGATGTCACGTCACCATTGTTGTGCTCGCCCAGCATTTTGTCGATCTGTCTTATTTCGCCCTCCCGTTTCTTCATTGAGTCCGCTTCGCCGTCCTCGTTTCTCTTTCTTTTATAGCCGTTTCTATAGACTGGGCTGACTAGGCGTGATGAAGGCGGCTAAGGAGGGGGAAGGAGGAGGAGGGAGAAGGCACATGCATAAATACGTAGACTGCACACACACACACACACTCACACACAGAGAGAGAGAGAGAGAGAGAGAGAGAGAGAGAGAGAGAGAGAGAGAGAGAGAGANAGAGAGAGAGAGAGAGAGAGAGAGAGAGAGAGAGAGAGAGAGAGAGAGAGATGCCCTTCCTTGCCTCCACGCGTATTGACGATGCTCCTCCGTTTGTCCTCTTCGGATGTGGATGCTTTCCATTTTAGTCCTCCCTGTCCTTTGCTCCTCCACCTCCTCGTCCCTTGTGGGCGACCGTGTTGTCGTTGCGAAGCTGTTGTCTCGATCGCAAATCGAGTAGCAAATGGCGAAAGGAAATAACAAAGGACAGCAGGGAGACGTATATTTAGTTTTCTCAAAAACTTCGGCAAGATCTATGTAATAGATGGCTTTGGGGAAAGTTAAGGGAATGCTGTGCTGTGTCTGGTAGACATAGGGATGAGAGTGACTCAATTCGCTGTTGGCAGCACTCTTGTTTGTCGGCATTTCGCCGGTCTCGGTGCACTCTCGATCTCTCTCTCCGTTCTCTAGTGCTCCTCTCTGCTTAATCGCCTCCCTGGTCTGTTCCTGTCCCTTTCTGTTTGTTTAGTGCGCCTCTCTGCTTATTCGCCTTCGTGATCTGTTCCTGTCATGTCAATCCCCTTTTGAATATTTGGTGAAAATTGCTGCGTTCCGTGGTGGCTAGATTTACTGCTATAAACGAGTAATTAGCACTCTCGATCTAGCTCTCCGTTCTCTAGTGCTCCTCCCTACTTAATCGTCTCGAGTCCCTGGTCTGTTCCTGTTCCTTTCCGTTTCTTTAGTGCGCCTCTCTGCTTATTCGCCTTCCTGATCTGTTCCTGTCATGTCAATTCACTTTTGAATATTTGGTGAAAATTGCTCCGTTCCGTGGTGACGACATTTACTGCTATACACGAGTAAGTAGTCTTATTACTGCCAGGGCCAGTCGGCGCATTCTTCATGCAGGCTGTTCCCTTTGCGTCCATGTTCCCCACCTTCTCTCGCGCCTAATTCTCCTTGCAATGTCGCGTCCATCTCTTACGCGGTTCCCTGATCTGTTCCTGTCATGTCAATCCACTTTTGAATACTTGGCGAAAATTGCTCCGTTCCTTGGTGACGAGATTTGCTGCTATACACGAGTTTTTAGTATTGTTACTGCCAGGGCCAGTCGGCGCATTCTTCATGCAGGCTCTTCCCTTTGCGTCCCCGCTCCCCCCCTTCTCTCTCTCTCTCTCCTCATTTTCCTTCCACTGTCGCATCCGTTTCTTTAGTGCTCCTGTCTGCTCACGCGCCTCCCTGATCTGTTCTTATCATGTCAATCCACTTTTGAATACTTGGTGAAAATTGCTGCTTTCCTGGGTGACGAGATTTGCTGCTATACACGAGTAATTAGTCTTATTTCTGCCAGGGCCAGTCGGCGCATTCTTCGTGCAGGCTCTTGCTCTTCCCTTTGCGTCCACGTTCCCCACATCTCTCTCTCTCGTAGTCTTCCTTTCACTGTTGCATGCGGTTTCGGAGTCCCAGTCCTGAGGAATCGGTTTTTTTTTTTTTTTTTTTTGGCTCTGCGTAATCTCTCTCTTCTTTTCACTGTTCCCCCCCGAACAAAACGCGCCCTCATCATGATGTACAGAAGCTGTTTTTCCAGTCCGATACAGTCGTGATGAGGGTGCGTTTTGTTTGGGGGAGGACGCTAGCGAGGAGGGTGAACACAGACTGCTGGCGGCGACGGCAGCATTCGTGTAGAGTTTTCTATGGATTGATTGATCAGATCGGCAGTGCTTGGCATTATTCTGCGCAGACCCTGATCGAAATCTGTAGCCTTCCACCAGCTTTTCCACATCACGGGCTTTTTATCTTTTTTTTTTTTTTTTTTTTTTTACGGGCTCTTCGTCCTCACTGCTCCATGCCTGCGGCTTCTGCTCGTCCTCACTTGTCCACCTCCCTCCGACCACATGCAGCTAATAGCTGCGGAGGCCGTTGCTGTTGCCCACCTTCTCCGTGTTTTTCTTTTTTCTCGTTTTTCTTAACATCCGTGAGGAGCCTATTTGTGGAGGTGATCGGAGCATCCTCCACAAATAGGGCCCCTGTAGAAGTCGGGTCTAATTTATTGGTGGGGAGCTGCATCAGCTGCAAATCGGCTCCAGCATCCCGATTGCAAAACATGACCCGATATCAAGTATGTTAGGTGACGAGCAGCTCCGTTTCTCCTCATTCACACTCCTCGGAGCCATCTCTTGTGTACTCAGCATGTGTTCGCTGCGTGTCGTTCCATTTTTCCTCCACGCACAATGTGTGTAGAGCGGTCATCCTTTCATTTCTCGTATTCAGAATGCTGTTAGCACCCATCTTTGAAACACCGATCTGGCACGCAAGATGTCTGTAATGCTTCCGCTTCAGCACTGTAGCAGGCACAATGTGTGCAATGCTTATGGTTCTACAGTCTGGCACACGCGCAACCAAACACGCGCAACCAGGTCACAGCAGCTCCAGATGAATGGGCCCGTTTTTTTGTACATTGGACTAAACGCCTGAATCTGGACGTGTTCGTGGAGAGGTGCGCGCAATTGCGATTAATCTGCCTTTTCCCATTCCTGCGCAAAACGCGTCCAGATTCAGATGCTTAGTCTAATCCTATTGGCTCGTGGGACCTTACCCTGGGAGAGGCAAAACGAAGAGACCACCTCGGTACATGCAGTACATCCGTCGTTAGGTGAGGGGTTACGGACGCCGGCTGCTCATATTCCCTCCCCCTCCTCCGAACGGTCTCCAATCTACGTGTACGGAGCAGCAGATGGTGGGAACCGGTCCCACCTGCTGCTGATGAATTCGTTTATCATTGAAGGTCCTGTTTCCTCCCCTCTGGGCCCGTTCCCCAGCATAAGGAAAAAAAAGAAACGGTCGTCTGTACATCTGATATGTACATTGTATGAACCATTTCTCGATTTATGCGTGTCATCCTTGCGCAGGGGCCATGCTCATCTTCTCTGTATCGTTCTAATTTTAACGGATGTGGCCTTGGGCACTCTGGGTTCAAAATTGTCTTTTTGGGAAGAAAAAGAGAAAGAAGCACCTGTACATTTCGGTTTGACCCCCAGCGCGCGTGATTGACGGTTGTCCCGGGGCCAAGTCCCGGTTCAGTTCAGAATCATAGGGGATCGGTCCACTAAAAAACCACAAAAATCATGGCGGTGTATCTTTCCATGTTCTAGGGGAAGATTCACTCTCACGTTGCACATTTGGAGAGTAGTGGAGCGAGGCTCATAGTACAGTGTGACATGAGCTAAACACTATTGACATTGGATCTAACAGATCTGTCGCCCAGAAATAGCGCCTCGCTCCACTACTCTCGAAAGGTGCAAACCAAGAGTGAATCTTCCGCTAGAACATGGAAAGATACACCACCATGATTTTTGTCTTTCGTGCATTTCAAGAGTAGTGGAGCGAGGCCCTTAAGGGTTCAGAAGAATCTAAGAAAACGTGTAGGAAATTTCAAAGCACGACAAAAAAGGACTAGAACTGTCCAATCCCCCAGCGTCGTATTTAAAAAAAAATAAAAAAATAAAATCCCCCAGCGTCCTGGTTTTATAGCCCAGGAAGCAGCAGCACGTTAGAGTGCCTCGACAGCGACGTGAAAAAAGAACGAATGCATCTGGCGCAGAAAGTGGTAAGATGCATCCATTGCCATTCGTAGTGACCGAAGTGTCTTTCCCTTCTCCGCCGGATGTTGAGAAAATGCATGAAGAATGTTGAGTAATGCACTGAGGCCCACAGGCATGATAATGATATAATAACACGAATACGTAACGGAAAAAGAGGGAAACGGCGTATCTCAAATCGCGGTGGTGTTTTTTTTTTTTTTTTTTTTTTGAACGCAGGTGCTCTTCGACCCTCACAAGCTCAAAGACCGGCTGCGGTCCACCAAGGATACTCTCATTTGAACAACTGAGGAACAACTGAGGGAGAACAAGAGCAAGCACGCAAGCAGGCAGGCAGGCACGCAGGCGGGCAGCAAAGAAAGAGCTTACTGGCATACCGTCCGTGGGTCGAAGAGGGGCCTAATTCACCTGGAAGTACACAGTGTCAGAGGGAGAGGAGCAATGGACGCCAAGTTTGGAAGTCAGTTTGCCCGCAGTTTGGCTGCGGTTTGTTTACTTGTTGCATGCTGTTGCGTGCCGAGCGTCGACGGCGGCATACTCAATGGTGTAGCGAACAGACTCGGACTGTGCAACCCTCCTGACGAGCAATGGCAGTCGGGAACCGGCACGTTCTATTCTGGAGGTCACGGCGGTGCGTGCGGCTTCGCCGGGCTGGGGTATTCCATTTTCGCGGAGAATTATGTCGCTGTCTCCACTGCTCTGTGGAACAGCGGGGCGGCGTGCGGTACCTGCTTGGAGGTGCGCTGCAAGGGGCCGTCAAGTGCGTGCATTGCCGGGGCGACCATCAAGGTCACCGTGACGGACTTCTGTCCCAACACTTACCCGAACCTTGCGCACTGCGGCACGGACAAAGTAAGTAATCGGGCACTCGAATCCGTCACCTTTTTTTTCCTTTTTTGTTTTTAATG